ATCTACACTCTTTGCCTCCGCCGCCTCTTAACCCTTCCACTGCCGGGACCGCCGCCTCTTAACCCTTCCACTGCCGGGACCGCCGCCTCTTAACCCTTGCATTGCCGGGGTTCCGCCATAACCCTTCCACATCCTCGGTCCGGTCCCGGTTTAATCCCTTCACACTCCGGTCCGCTCCCGGTCCCGGTTTAACCCTTCGGGACCCCCGATCCGGTTCCGTTTTAACCCTTCCACAGCCCCGGTCCAGTCCCGGTTTAGCCCTTCCGGAGCCTCGGTCCGGTCCCGGGTTAACCTTTACCCGGGTTAACCGGGTTAACAGCCCGGTCCGGTCCGGTCCCGGTTTAATCCCTTCACAGCCTCGGTTCGGTCCCGGTTCCGCTTTAACCCTTCGGGAGCCGCGGTTCGGGATCGGGCCCGGTTCTGCTTTAACCTTCCAGAGCCTCGGTCCGGTCCCGGTTTAATTCGTTCACAACCCGGTCCGGTCCCGGTCCCGGTTTAACCCTTCCACAGCCCGGTCCGGTCCCGGTTTAACCTTTACCCGGGTTAACCGGGTTAACAGCCCGGTCCGGTTCCGGTCCCGCTTTAACCCTTCCATAGCCCCGGTCCGGTCCCAGTTCCGCTTTAACCCTTCCACAGCCCCGGTCCGGTTCCGCTTTAACCCTTCGGGAGCTGCGGTCCGGTCCCGGTTAAATCCCTTCACAGCTCGGTTCGGTTCCGGTTACCGCTTTAACCCTTCGGGAGTCCCGGTCCGGTCCCGGTTCGGGGTCAGTTTTAACCCCTCGGGAGCCGCGGTTCGGGACCGGGCCCGGTTCTGCTTTAACCCTCCGGGAGCCTCGGTGCGGTCCCGGTTTAATTCCTTCACGGCCCGGTCCGGTCCCGGTCCCGCTTTAACCCTTCGGGAGCCCCGATCCCAGTTCTGGGTCAGTTTTAACCCTGTGGAGGCCCCGGTCCCGGTCCCGGTCCCGGTTCCGGTTTAACCCTTTGGGAGCCGCGGTTCGGGTCCGGTCCCGGTCCCGGTTTAACCCTTTGGGAGCCGCGGTCCGGTCCCGGTTTAACCCTTTTGGAGCCGCAGACCGGTCCCGGTCCCGGTTTAACCCTTTTGGAGCCGCGGTCCGGTCCCGGTTCTGTGTCAGTTTTAACCCTTTTGGAGGCCCCGGTCCGGTCCCGGTCCCGGTTCCCTTTAACCCTTTCCGAGCCGCGTTTAAAGCCATTAATGAACGGTATTGGAATGAGGGACGGAGGTAGAAATAATTAATTACTAAATAATTAGATGGAAAAATATCAGTTTAATATTGAATCCTTTTAGTTAATTAATTATCACCTTTATTTATTTATCTATACCTATATTATATATTATATATTATATATTATATATTATATATTATATATTATATATTATATTATATATATTATATATTATATATTATATTTTATATATTATATATTATATTTATTAATTTATTTTTATTATTGTTTTTTAATATTTATCATCTTTTTCTTGATTTAATTATTTATTATGCTTTATTTAATTTTTTATTTATTCATTATTCATGATTTATTTGCTCTTTAATATTAATTATCAGTTATTTATTATTCATTATATTATTATTTATTCATGATTCATTATTAATTTTTAGGTTTTAGGTTTTATTTTTATTTTTATTTTATTATTTATTTATTATTTGTTATTTTCTTTATTTATTATCTATTATTTGTTATTTTCTTTATTATTTATCATTTATTTCATTATTTATTCACTATTCATTTTTTAAAAATTCTTTTTTCTTTAATTATTTTTGATTATTTATTCATTCTTAATTACTCATTATTTATTATTAATTATTTATTATTTCTTTGATTACTTATCTCAATTAATTATTTAATTGGCCCCTCCAATTAATTCCTTCCCTTCCCACCCACTCCCGTTAATTCCCGAGGCCTTTCCCGATCCTCCAGGAACAGAAACATCCCAAAATTCCAAGGATTTCCCAAAATTCCCGAGGATTTCCCTTTCCCAAGGGGAAATCGAGGCTCGTTCCAAGGCCGAATTCCCTGGAAAACGGATCCCAAAAAACCTGGGAATGAGGAGAATTCCAAAGGATCTGGGAATGAGAATTCCCAGATCCCAAAGGATTTGGGAACGAGGAGAATTCCAAAGGATCTGGGAATGAGGAGAATTCCCGGCCTTTCCTTGGTCAGGATGGATTTTCCAGGATAATCTGGGTGGGCGTGGCCGGGTTAATGAGATTTCCGGGAATTAACGACGTCACCGCTCTAATTCCCGACCCAGCCGGCTCCGACCTCTTCCCAAAAAAATCTCCTTTTCCCGGAGCCGCCTCCCGGGCTCGGGATTGGGAATATCCGGAGGAGATTCCCGGTTCTTCCAAGGCCTCGGAGCAGCTCCGGCTCCTTCCAGCTGGAATTTGGGAAAGGTGAGGATGGGGAGGGAAAGAATCCTGGGAATTCCTGGCTGGATCCCAGATTTCCATGCTGGGATCCCCAGGATCTCCCAAATCCCAAATGTGGATTGGGAGGAGTTCGGGAATGTTGGAAAAGGGGCTGGGATTTGGGAAAGGTGGGAAAGCTCCTGATCCCAGCTGGGAATGGGAATTGTTTGGGAATTGTTTGGGAATTCTTTGGGAATTCCTTGAAAATTCCTTGGGAATTCTTTGGGAATTCTTTGAGAAATCTTTGGGAATTCTTTGGAAAGTTTTTGGGAATTCTTTGGGAATTTGTTGGGAATTCTTTGGAAAGTTTTTGGGAATTCTCAGCACCGTTGCTCCCACCCAGGGTGGGACAATTCCCGCTGGGAATTCCTCTGGAATGGGTGGGAAATCAGCTCAGGCCAATCCCAAATCCCAGCTTTGGGAATTCTGGGATCCGTGCGGATCCAGGTGGAGGCAGCAACGCATCCCAAGGATTTGTTGGGAATGTTGGGAATGTTTGGAATGTTGCCTGGGATCCCGTTCCAGCTCCCGGCCGGGTTTGTTTCCTGGATCAGGCTGCAGATCCCGGGAAAAGGCGACGCTCAGAGCCTGGAAAGAATTCCCAGGGTTCCAATCCCGGCCTCCTCCAGCCCCGGAATCTCTAGCAGCATTCCCGAGATTCCGGCTTTTCCACCGGCATTCCCGAATTCCCAGCGGCACCGAGATTCCGGCTTTTCCACTTCTGGGGAGCAGATCCAGGGATCCAGCCCAGGATTTTTTGGGAGCTGATCCCAGGATTCACTCCCGGGTTTTTGGGGATAAATGCTGGGATCCATCCCAACATTTTAGGGGAGTTTTGGGAGCAGATCCCAGGATCCATCCCAGATTTTGGGGGATAAATCCCAGGATCCATCCCAGATTTTGGGGGATAAATCCCAGGATCCATCCCAGATTTTGGAGGATAAATCCCAGGATTCATCCCAGGATTTTGGGAGCTGATCCCAGGATCCATCCCGGATTTTGGGAGCTGATCCCAGGATCCATCCCAGGATTTGCTGGGGGGCCGTTCCCCGTTTTCCTGGCTCCGGCAGAGCCCGGAATTCCTCTTCCAACTTTTTTCCCTTGGATCCCTGAGTTCCCGGGATCCGGGAGCTCAGCGGAGCCGCTGGATCGGGACTGAGGGATCCACAAATCCCGATCCCAAATCCAGGCCCGGAGCTGTTCCCAAACCTCCGCTTTTCCCTGGAAAAACCTCGGGAACGGCATCAAATCCCTGCCCGAGCTCCCGCGGCTCCTCCCGCGCTGAAATCCCGGGAATTTGGGAATTTGTTGTCATTCCCGGCCTGTGTTTACATTCCTGGCTCTTCCCCAATTCCCGCGGCATCCGAGGCCTCCCAAAGGTCAGGATCAAGGAGCTGGAAAAACGGGGGGAAAAAAAACCTCGGAAAAGCTCCCGGGATGATCCCAAAAAATCGGGAGAAGTCGGGAATGGGATGGAAGCGCCAAAATCCCGTGGGATTTGGAGGAGCTGGGATCAGGCTCCGAAAAATTCCTCTGGAATTTTCTGTATCCAGGTTTTCGTGCCCGGCGAGGGGTCGGGATGGGATGAGCTCCCCATTCCCAGATTCCAGGAGTAATTCCCGTTCTTTCCAGAGGTTTTTTTCCAGGCAAACAAAAATTCCTGGATCCGGAGGACGCGGCCTCCTCCTTCACCAAGGTTTTGGAGGAGTCATCCAAGGATTTCAATCTGGGAAAACCACGGGATCTTCCCTTTGGGAATGACGTCATTCCCAGATCCGAATCCAGCTGAATTCGCTCCCTGGGATGGAAAATTCCCAGATTTCTCCTCCCCTATCCTGGTTTTTCCCCTTTAGATTCCACCCCCCCTTCCAATTTCTCCCTCCTCTCTCCCAGGATTTTCCCCCCTTTATTCCCAAGTTTCCCCCCCTTTTATTCCCAGTTTTCCCCTCCTTTATTCCCAAGTTTTTTCCCTTTTCTTCCCAGGTTTTCCTCCTTTTCCCCCCAGTTTTTCCCTCTCCTCTCTCCCGGTTTTCCCGGCAGAGGTGGCAGGGCCGGCACGGCCGATTCCCGGCTGGAATTCCCGGCTGGAATTCCCGGCTGGAATCCTCTCCCTAAAGGCTGGCTCGGCTGGACGAGGCCGCCCCCATTCCCATCCTTTCCTGGGAATCCATTCGATCCCGGGATCCTGGAATCTCAGGATTCCAGACTGGAATTCCCCGCTGGAATTCGCGGCTGGCACAGCCGATTCCCGGCTGGAATTCCCGGCTGGAATTCCCGCCCCCATTCCCATCCTTTTCTGAGGGACCTCATCCCAGGATTCCAGATTGGAATTCCCGGCTGGCACAGCGGATTCCAGGTCGGAATTCCCGGTTGGAATTCCCGGCTGGCCCAGCCGATTCCAGCCTGGAATTCCCGCCTGGAATAGCTCCAATTCCCGGCTGGAATTCCTGAATGGCACAGCCAATTCCCGGCTGGAATTCCCGGCTGGCACATCTGGAATTCCCGCCTGGAATCCGCTCCCTAAAGGGTGCCGCCGCTGGAATTCCCGCCCCCATTCCCATCCTTTCCCTCCTCCCAGTTTTCCCGGCCCCTCCTCCTCGGTCCCGGGGCTCTCCCGCTGTCAGGGAGAGCCGGGAAAAGCTTTGGGATCGGGGCCGGGATTTGGGATCGGCGCTTCCCGATGATTCCATGGCCATTCCCAGCGGGATTCTCCTGGCCTGCTCCCTCTTCCTCCTGCCCGGTGAGTCCCAATCCCAAAAAAAAAAAAAAACGGGAATGGCTTGGAAAAAAAAAATCCCAAAAACCTCCAGGGCGGCTCTTGGAAAAGTTTTGCCGGGAGCGGGAGGGAGCTGGAGAGGGATGGAAATCTTGGAATTGCCGGGAAATTCCCGGTTTTTCCTCGGTTTTGGAGCGGGGTTTATGGGGATAATCCCAAAGGATGGGGAAGGAAACTTCCCTTTTCCATAAATCCCTTTGGAAAAGCGGGAATTCTCGGGGTTAAACCCGGGCTTCAGGCGGGGTTTAATTCCAGGAGCTGCGGCTTCTCCCATTCCATGGATTTTTCGCCTTTTCCCGTTTTTTTTTTTCCTTTGGAAAAGGCAGCGCTCATTCCTGGTTTTATCCCATCTGGAATCCACCCGCGCCGGGAGCCGAAAAACGGAAAAAAACCGGGAAAAAACCGGGAAAAACCGGGAAGAAACCGGGAAAAACGGGAAAAAAACGGGAAAAACTGGGGAAAACCGGGAAAAACTGGGAAAAATCAGGGGAAAACCGGGAAAAAAACCGGGAAAAACCAGGAAAGAAAAGCGCTTTTTCCCCACTCGGCCGCCGGCTCCAGCTGCAAACATTCCCAAAGTTCCTCTGGAAAACGCGCCAGGGTTTTTCTGGGAGTTTTTTCTGGGAGGTTTTTTTTTGGGATTTTTGGGATTTTTGTTTTCCCTTTCTGCCCGCCGATCCTTTCCAGGGAGCCGCTTTTCCCGGGATAATTGGATCCATGTGTGGCCGCAGCGATGGATGCGGAGCCGCCTCTGGAATGGGATCCTGGAAAAATCCGGGAGCTGGCGGAGCCTCGGGAATTTCCCCCTCTGGACACGGCGGATTTATGGAAACATTCCCGGATTTTCGCTCCGCTCTCCCGGATTTTTTTTCCTCATCCTTGGATGGTTCTGGGCAGGGATTTCCATCCTGGAAAATTCCCAATGGAATTTTCTCTATCCAGGGATTTCCATCCTGGAAAATTCCTGCTGGAATTTTCTCTCTCCAGGGATTTGGGTCTTTCAGGAATTTTCCCCCTCTGGAATTTTCTGTATCCAGGGATTTTCCATCCTCGGGGGTTTCTGCTCTTGGAATTTTCTCTCTTGGAATTTTCTCTATCCAGGGATTTGTGTCCTTTAGGAATTTCCCCCTCTGGAATTTTCTGTATCCAGGGATTTTCCATCCTGGAAAATTTGGGGGAAATGGGGAAAAGTGGGAAAAAATGGGAAAACTGCAGAAAATGGGGAAAATGGGAAAAAATGGAAAACTGGGAAAAATGGAAAACTAGGAAAAAATGGGAAAACTGCTGAAAAATGGGAAAAGTGGGAGAAAATGGGGAAAACCGGGAAAACTGGGAAAAACTGGGAAAAGCGGGAGCTTCCTGAGCCGCTGGGACAAAAGGAGCTGGAAAGAATTTTGGGATAAGGAGGGGGAAATTCCGACTTTTTTTTTTTTTTTTTTTTTTTTTCCCGATTTTTTTTTTTTTCCCAGGATTCGGGAATTCCTTCAACGTGGACACCGAGAGGCCCCGGATCATTCCGGGATCCCGGGAATCTTTCTTTGGATACACGGTGCAGCAGCACGACATCGGCGGCAAGAAATGGTGAGGGGGCTCCGGAAAAGCGGGAATTCCGATGGGAATTCCGATGGGAATTCCGGCGGGAATGATCCCGATCCACCCCAAATCTCCTGCGGAATTCCTGGGAATTGCTGGGCCGGGCTGAGGCTGCTCCTGGAAAAGGTTTTCCTTAAAAAAAAACCGAGGAATTTTAGGTGGGAATATTGGGAATTTGGGAATCGTGGATTCCTTGGAGCACCTCGGGAATTGCTGGAATGGATCCCTCGGGAATCTGCGCCCGGAGCGGCCCCGGGTTCAGTTCCCAGGGAGGGGGCGGGGCCTGGAGATCCAGCGGGAAAATCCCTCGGGAATGTGGGATCAGCCCCGGGATCGGCTCCGGGTTGGGGATTTGGGGATCCCAGGGATGGATCCAGAGCCGATCCCAGAGGGATCCCAGGGATGGATCCCGGGGAATCCCAGGGAATCCCAGGGCTGATCTTATCCAGGAGCTGGATTGGAATTCCTGGATTTGGAATTCCAGGAGCTGGATGGGAATTCTTGGATTTGGAATTCCAGGAGCTGGATGAGAACTCCATGGGAATCTCTCATCCCAAAGCTCCTTTTCCAAGGAATCCCGGAGAGGAACACCAGGAGCCCCATTCCCATGGACAATTCCCAGGAAAGAGCGGATAATGGGAGTGAGGCCAGCCCCAGGAATTCTGGGATTCCCTGGGCAGCGGGAATTCTGCATTCCCGTTTTCCCCAGGATCCTTTTCCCCCTTTTTTCCGGAGTTTCCCGGCGAGGTTCTCTCAGCTCAGCCGGGATTTCCCACGGAGCCGTTCCAGGATCGGCATCCACGGAATCCCGTGGGATCTCCAGCTTCCCTCTGGAGATTCCCAAGAAAAGATTCCCCAACTTTTTCCCCAACTTCTCCCCAACTTTTCCCCCAATTTTCCCCAACTTTTTCCCCAGTTTTCCTGAACTTTATTCCCACTTTCCCTGTCGATGACAGCTCCAGCTGGAGCCGATTCTCCCATCGCCAATTCCCACATTAAGACCGGAAGTTTTTCCATGAGAATCCTTGGATTCGGGAGCTTTTCCTCGCGCGAGCGATTCCGGATTGGGATGTTTGTCTTTGGAGCAGCGACATTTTTATGGAATGACAATTCCCGCTCTAACCGGGACCAGCTGCGCCCGTGGCTTTTCCAGCTGCTGGGAACAAAAGAGCTCCGCAGTTTTTCCGGAGATCTGGAGCGGGATCGCATCCATCGGAATTTTGGGAAGCTGAAAAAAAAAAAAATCTAAAAATTCTCGTTTTTTTTTTTGGGAGCCGACAGCTGCTGGTGCCGGGGATTTTTGGGATAACCTGGAAAGAAGGGATGGATTCCTTGGGAATCTCTTCCCGCTTTGGGGTTGCTGGGTTGGAATGTTGAGGTGGAGGAAAAAGCGGGAAAAATGTTTGGATGTGCCAAAATTATCCCGCCCGGAATGGGAATGGGATTGAGCATCTCCCGGATCCTGGAGAGCGGGAGAATTCCCAATTTTCCTGGGAAAATTCCCTCCATTTAAGATCCCAAAGTTCAGAGCGACTCCAGTTTGGAGGAAATTCCCTTTTCCGGGTTTTTCCCTGGGAAAATTCCTTCCCAATTTCCTCCCCCACTCCTGGAGATCCCAAGGTTCGGCTCAGGGCTGTTCACAACAGCTCCAGGATGGAGCAAATTCCCTTTTCCAGGATTTTCTGGGGAAAAATTCCTCATGGATCCCAGTGGGATGTGCTGGAAGCGCTCCTTGGAATTCCCCATGGTTCTGCTGGAATTCCACATCCTGGAATGTCCTGGAGAAGTTCCTGGAATGAAGGGGGAGGAGTCCCCACCCACAGGGGGGGTTGGGATGAGATGATCCTTCCATCCCAAACCATTCCAAGTCCCTCTGGAAAAGAGGGAAGAGCTGGGACAATCCATGAGAGGATTCCCAGGGATTTGGTGCCGTCCTGGAGCTGCTTCCCTGCTTTTCCCAGTGATTCCAGCGGGGTCTGGATCCCTCCCTCCCTTGGGAATAAACCCCAGAATTCCAGCTGGCAGAATCCCATTCCCAACTTCCCCTTCCACCGAGGCCGCTCCCAAATCAGGAATTTTTTTTTTCCTGGGGGGGTGGGTTGGAATTCCCGTTTTCCCGACGGATCCGTGTTTTCCGCAGGCTGGTGGTGGGAGCTCCGTACGAATCCAACGGGCACCAGAAAACCGGAGACGTCTACAAGTGTCCGGTGCCGAGTGACGGGAACTGCACCAAGCTCAACCTGGGTACGGCATTCCCGGCCATCCCAAACATCCTGGAAAAATGGGATCGAGGGAAGGTGGAATTCCCAGAGAAATCCCAGAGAATTCCCAGAGAATTCCCAGATGCCTCCAAGGTTGGGTTGGATGGGGCTTGGAGCGGCCTGGATGGGTTTGGAATTCCTTCTGTCCCCAATTATTCCCCGATTCCCGGTTTGATTCCCAAGGGTTTTCCGGAGGAACGGTCGGAGCGGGATTTGGGACGCGGCTCCGTGGCGTTTAGGATTGGCCGATCCCAATTTCTGGGCTGTGCCATGGGAAAAACAGGGATTTCCTGGGAATCCAGGATGAGGAGCTGAGCCCTCCAAGGGATTTCCGCCTCTCCAACTTCCAGCCTCATTCCCAAAAGTTTTCCTTCCTTGCCCCAATTTTCCCAATTTTTTTCTCACTTCCCAAAAATCCCCCAAACCCGGAGTTCTGGGGGCAGAGATCCCTCTCCGGCTCAGAATTTCCGGTTCTTCCGGAGCTCCTGGGGCCATCGGGATTCCCGGGAATGCCGCGCTGTCTCCGCAGGGCGCGTGACGCTGTCCAATGTGTCGGAGCGCAAGGACAACATGCGCCTGGGGCTGAGCCTCGCCACCGACCCCCGTGACAGCAGCGTTCTGGTGAGCCAAATTCCCGGGAATGCCGCCAGGAATTCGGGAATGGGCCACAGGAGGAGGGGGTGGGGAGGGTCCTGGCTTGGGG